TGATATGCGACTTCTTCGGCTCGCTTTGTTTTTAGTGATCTGAGAATTATAAACTTGGTGAGATGATCTTGATACACCATGATGAACTTAAAATCACCGTCTGCTTGTGTTTGGCATCGTGAGTTAAATTCACTACTTATTATAGACTTCATCACTAGCCCTTTCTTTGATACACTTAATTTTTTTTGACATAATTCACAAAGAATCAAATAAAGAGCCACAAATTCTTTAGTAATGTTCTTGTACTTCAGTTTGAGTTCTTTCATCATCCTATTTCTACCTCCATGCCCGATGGAAATGTGAGTTTCGGGAATAATATCAAACGTTTCTTCCATATAACAGTAATATTTAATTCCCTTTCATTTTTCACTGGGACGATTAATTTTTGGATTGTTCCAATTTTTACTATATCATACCTCGACAATCGTTGATATTCCTCAGGAGTTTTGCTTGCGAGCTTGTTTGAGACCTTGATTTTTTAAATGGACCACGGGCCATCGAGCATTAGTAATATGGACCTTCCAAAGTAATAAATTTATCAATTTGGCCGACGCTCTTGGTCATTATTCATAATGATCGGTCCATATTAATACTGCCCTTAATCAAGTTAATCAAGTTGCCCGTAACATATATTTGTAATATGGAATTGAAAATAGAAAAACTATGGTCACAGCAATCAACTAGACATTTTGGCAACCAAACCTATTTTTAGTTATAACTTCGTAATGATGTATTCCATAATTTTGATTTTCTAGAACAACCCAGAATAACTAAGGAAATCTGTTTTTTCGGTTTTTCTCGCCGAATTTTTATTTTTTCTATTTGCCGCTTTGGAACAATGCAGAACAACTCTAGAAGAATCTAGAACAATGAAAAATTTAAAAATCAAAAAATGGGGGGCTAACTTCCCGCACTCTAAGTTGTACCTACATAAGTATACATATTATTAGATAGAAGAGAATGGTGGTTTTGGGATTCAAAGAGCGTCCACAAACGGAATTTGTATGTTGATAAGAACGCGCCGCCCTTTTGCGTATACGATGCCGCCCGGATTAACGGTATTTGCGTTATCTGTCGACGTCGTTTTTTGTACGGAGAGCGGCCGACGCGACGCCACATGCCCCGTTAAAACCATCGCAAACAACCCGCAAGACATCAAATCAATATTTTCTCTACTTTTCTTCACATCGTGGGTCATCGATATCACACCACGAAGAACCGTTTTGTAAGTTCTCTTATTGACACTATATCGATAGATTATTCGATTACGAAGCCGCTTTTCCGAAAAGATACATTTCAAGAAAAGAAATCAATCTCAATTGTGTTTAGATATTTTTAAACATAAATAAATATTGTTTGAAAAGTTTCAACATTTTATTTTGGCAATTCCCATTCATAAAAATATCGGCAAATTTCATCTAGATAATGAAAGTCAAAATAAAAGAAATATCCGATTTAATCCGAGGGATACGATTAACAAACATGTTTCGAAGTGGGGTTTTTTCGTTGTCTAATTATCTCACGTACTTAAAAAAAATGGGTATATCTAAAAATATCCGTGGTGGTTTTGAAGCACCTTAAATCCGGCATAGATCCAAACCACTGCTGGTGGATTTTCACAACACTTTGATGATTTGCCGACGACAATTTTGTGGAATTAAGTTCCCTTTTTGCCGACGCTCTACGTTTAATCGTCGCACGGATTTCAAATTTTATTAAAAATCCCCGATCATTATCTTCAGATATGATATATTTTTTGATATATAAAGTTCTTTAATATTAAAAGGATATCGGAAGTTGAAAGCATCGAGGAATAATATTGTAATATAGAAGACAAGATGGAAAATTGATGTCTATAATGAACATCTAAGAAAATATTGCAAATAATTAGTTCAACGGAACAAGTCTTTGATGGAAATGTAGAAAATTATATTCGAAATCCATTTTACCAATATTTGTTAATAATTAGGAGAAATGATATATAAATTTTTTTTGTATTTTCAAAACTGGTCTTTAATTAAATAATAAACTAATAAATAATAGTTTTTAGGATGCAATAGTAGATTAAAATATCAAGTTCACATATTAAAATTCTGTAAAGTTATCAGATAAAGTATAATTTAACACCACGTTAACATTTTAAAAACGTAGAATGTTCTGATGCAATTGCATCCTAAAAACTAGTCTTTGAAGATGGCTATTAGCCGAAACTAGTAAGACTCATGTTTATTATTTAATTAAAGACTAGTTTAGAAAGTACAAAAAAGCTTTATATATTATTTCTCCTAATTATTTGATGGAAATGTTATAAAAAAAATCTGGTGTCTAAGCTTCGGAATTGTTCGTTATGTATTTAGTATTCAGCCGTTTCCATTCTTTTGTCTCAAAGAAAGCATACATTTTAATTCCGAAAGCTTGGTATAAAAAACAAAGAAAATGTTGACGGTATAAAGTTGCACCAATCATCTGACTCAAGTATTAAGACTCTCTTTTAATAATAATAATAATAAATTGATTGCCATAACAGAAAAAAAACTATCAAAAACAATCAACGAGTCAAAACGAAAGTCAACGAAAAAAAATGTGAAACCAATGACTAGAATTATGGCTATCTTTTCAACATTAACATAATCGCAGCAACGGGCAATTTATATATTGGTCTTCTATATCGCTACATGAAACAGTGATGAGCGTCTAATGAAATGCAAAAGTGTGAGCAAAAAATCCGTAGAATTGGTTTTTATGCTCAAATGAAAACATCTAACCAATTAATATTAAATCAGCCAAAAAGTGGTTAATACATTGTAGCGGAAGCACTCAACCTCGGTTAAACCAGCAGTAGAAAATTTACGATATGGTGTGATTAAGCCGAAATCACTTGCGGCTGAGGCTTTACTATTTGTGTTATCCAAATTTGGGCTGATATGGTATTAATTGCAATTGGAAAATGACGAGAGGAGGATATCACATTCCCTAATAACCAGATAACGCGACTCTTTTTTCTCATTTTAACGAATTAAAAACTGCATCAGAAAAAAACTAACATAACAGTAGAAATACAGAGTCATGCTGTATGTATAATAATATTTTGAACATTTAGTTAATTAAGAACATATATTAAAGAAAAGATTATACAGTGTGTCCCAGGATAGATGTTACAAGAGGTATAATGACTTAAAATTTTTTGGCTAGTCTTGCAAGTTCTCTCTTAGTTGTTTTTGGTCTGTTAGCAGTAAGTGGTCTTCTATCAACGGTATCTATTCTTCCGCAAACAATGTCTAGTCTTGTATTAATAATACCTAGTTTTCTGGCAGCAATAAGTAGTTTACGGTCAGCAGTAAATGGTCTTATACAAGCAATATCTAGTTATCTGCAAGCAATCTAGTCTTCCGCAAAAAATTCAGTCTTCTGTAAGCAACATTTAGTCATTTAGCAATAAGTAGTCCACGGTCAGCAGTAAATTGTCTTCTACAAGCAATCTAGTCTTCTGCAAATAATGTATATTTTTATGTAAACAACATTTAGTCTTCTATTAACAGTATCTACTCCTCCATTAACAGTTTCTAGCAATAACTACTCTTCAATCAGCAGTACCAAGTCTTCTGCAAAATAACTATGTCTAAGACTTCCTTAACGTATTATCTTCTGCAGTAAATGGCCACGACATTCTTATGGGTATAATATTTCCTTCTGCACCTTTACATACAATGGTGCACATTTCCAGGCTATTATTACTATTATTACAGCTTATATTTTCTTTCCTTCTATATATCTGAAATGTTTTGGACGTTCATAGCCTTCCCCTTGACATAAATTAGTAGATTTTACACAACATTTAGCGATTGATCGTTTCAGACTTTTAGTAATATCTTTAATGTTGTTCTGGAGATAAATTACTATTATTTCTTTGGTAATTCTCTGTTACCAGTGGCTATTCCTAGTAAATATTTCAGTTTTACCGAACACATCTTATTGACATACATACAAGATATAGCTTCTGACAGTGATAGTTTAGTTTTGTATGAAAGTGTATTTGTTACATCATACACAGGATGTGTCAAATGTCTGGAATATAGTTAATAACTTCGCCCTTTGTGGTTTTAGAGAAAAATGTTTCAAATACAAGTTTCTTTATTAATCATGGCGCATTTTTTGGCGATATTTGTTTGTTTGCATTGTTTTTTGTTTCGTTGCTATGGCAACCAACATTGTTATTTTAAATGGGATGCATATATTTCTTTTGCATACTTTGATAGACCATAAGTCGATGAACATATCAAATCATATGGTTGTATAAGAAAAAAATCGAGAAAAAATGCGTTTTTTGAAAGTATTAAATCAGCTAATTACAATCAAAGTAGGCGCCTAAATAACGCCGTTGACAGCTTTAAATGTCAAAAAAATTACAGTTTCAACAGTTAAAGAGAACGCTTTTTTCTCGATTTTTTTCTTACACAACCATATGATTTGATATGTTCATCGCGTAGAGAGATTTATCCTCTATTAAAATGTGCAAAAAAAAACGTATGCTTCCCATTTAAAATAACAATGTTGGTTGCCATAGCAACGAAACAAAGAACAATGTAAACAAGCAATTATCGTCAAAAAAAGCGCCACAATTAATAAAGAATTTTTTATTTGAAACATATTCTTTAATCCCATAAATGGCGAAGTTATTGGCTATGTCCCAGACATTTGACACACCCTGTAAACATACAGGTGACTTAAAAATTGCTGCTACTTGTAATTTCGAGTAAAGTTTTCGACTATTTTAATGTTATTAAGTAACACGCTTATTAAATGTTTTATCATACTTATCTGTTTTGTTAGGTTCCAACGCTTCGTGATGCAAATATGAATGTTATATTTATTTAAGATATCTTTAATTGTCTATGTTTGGACTTTATATAGACTCGAACCAAATTTGTCTGAAGTAGTAAAAAAACTAAGATTAAATAAGTAAGGATTTTTAAGGATATAATAAAAAAAACAGTTTTAAATCTTTTTAAATTATTATCTATATTGTTTTGCTCTTAAATATTTAACGCCTGAAACCATAGCGTATCCATCGAGAGTTACTTATGGAGAAAGCACTATAAAATCCGTCGTTTTCCAGAAAATAACGGATTTAAAAGGCACGGAAACTGATCGATTCTGTCTAAGATTTCTCATAAGTAACGTAGTACGGGGAAGGATTTGGTGTACAATTCTATTTATAATTAATAATAAAATTAATTTCATCTTCTTGTTAAAATACAAGGCGTCATAAATAATCTAAAAACGTCTATAATCTCACAGTAAAGCGTAAAAACGAAGTAGTTAAATAGTCAATCGCGGTTCTGGAAAATTTAATACTTATTTAAGTTTATATTTAAAATTCCATGTTAACAATAAATATAACTTAATTTTTAATTTTTTTTTTCATCACTCGATTGCACTGTTCCACTTCATTGTTTCTTAATAAAAAAATTAACCGTTATTTCATTTATGTACAAAACGCGAAAAAAAACTATAAACTCGACAATCACAAATTAAACAGGGTTTCTTCCGCATTTGGAAAGTCCATCCTGTAACCATCACACTCCTCTTGTCACATCAACGAAATACCTTGATTCGGAGAAACCGCGTGGTTTAAGATCGTCGATGTTTGTTGTTGTTGTTGTTGTTCGAGACTGATATCTAACGGATCTTTAGTCATCGCCATTTCTTGCCTTTTCTTCGTCTGCTTGCGTTCTTTCGCCCGGCGATTTTGAAACCAAATTTTCACTTGGCGTTCTGATAAACCAAGCGTTAACGCTAACTCGGATTTTTTTCTTATCGTTATGTAACGACTGAAATAAAATTCTTTTTCTAATTCAACTCGTTGATGATCCGTGTAAACCACCCTGTATTTATCTTTTGTTCGCGTTTTGCCTAAAACAAAAATAGAAAATTTTAATTAAAAATTAGTTTAAAAAATTTTTGTTTAATAGTAAATAATGAGATGTTGTGACAATGTAAAGAAAAAAAGATGTTTTGAGAAAACCGTAAAATTAAAGTGATTTGTCAAGGGACCCTGTTCTTGTTAAAACTGTCACGCTTTTAGCACCCACGCCCACAGTAGTTTGTCGTCGTCGGGGAAACGAAGAGTTTTGGAGGAGCTGTTCCCCGTGATAATTGTGAACGGGTCGATGAAGGGCGACCCACCCATTTTGCGTTATTCGCCCCCGGGGGCCCATTCTCGCTATTACCGCTGTCGCTCTGTTGTTATTTCAGTAGTTTATTTCCAACCGAACGAACAAAGCTTTGGCTAATTTTGACTGCGATTTATGTAATTGCCAAATAGGTCCCTCTTTATCAACACTCAATTTATTTTCTTATAACAAAATTACATTTCAAAAATTTCTATTCAAGTATATTATGTTGAAAGTTATAGATAAGAATGTAGGCGGTCTTGTTATAGCTTCAAGGGCGGTCCTTTTTACATCTGATAACATCGAAACCGAGCACCTGACGTAGTGGTGGAGGAACAAATTTGACCTGTGATCTTCGTGTTTACTTTCAGATTACAGAACCCCTCATATCCGTTGACAAATAACCGAGTAAAGATACTGAGTCGGGGAGATTGCCCACGAAACAAAAATTTACATCAAAAATTTTACTATTTTCATTTAAAAGAATAATCGTTACCAAAAAAGTAATGCGATTAATTTCTTTGATACGTCATAACATTCACGCCATATGGTGAAGATATGGCGTGAATATGTGTGTGTTTGAGAGATAAAGAGTGTGGCGATAAGTATATTGAAATCGAAAATTTGGGACACGTTCGTACCAATGAACGGTAAAAAGGCTTAATAACGCCACTGGACTGCCGTAAACAGTAAATTGACGGTTGATTTGAGAAGACCGGTGGCCATAAAGTGAGATCCCGGGCGCTTTATGGCTCTTCCTTTAGTGCTCAACGCTACCCCGATGACTTCCCTACCATGACTACAAACCGCGCACCTTAAAACAATATTATCTCAACATTTTAATAATTATACAAAAATTTAATGCTAATTTCTAGTCAATTTTTAATTGCAATTTGAGGGGGGGTTAGAATTGGGTAATCGTTCTAAACGGGTTTAGATGCAATAAAATCAAGACAATTTAAAATGACATAAAAACTTAATAGATCTCATTAAAAAAACATTTCCTAAGATATCTTTTTAATTATTTTTTTTTATTTCGTCATTTTATAAGTTTCGAATTTTATTTTAAACCCAACCCAACATCTATATATATAAAATTGTTGATTACATGATTAATCTTATTTTAAATTGTTTGCCGCCAACTGATTTTTAACTAATCAACGAAGATCCTAATATTACCAAAATAAAGATACTTTTGCAAATAGATTGTGTAGATTCTGGACAAGGCTACTAAAGGTATTAATTGTCCGTGCTTAATTGTCCGAATAATTCTAGTTCTACGTTTTGTTCTAGTTTTATACTAGCACTATCATTAGAACTAACACAAGACCTAGAACTAGAATCATTCGGATTTAGCCGTCTTGAGAGACGTGCGGCTAAACCCGAATGTTTCTAGTTCTAGGTCTAGTGTTAGTTCTAGTTTTAGCTTTATAACTAACACTAGACCTAGAACTAGAAACCTTTGGGTTTAGCCGTGCGTCTGAAGAAGCGTTGTATATTCTTTATTGAGTTTAACCGATTTTGCTTGCGGCCGAGGCGCTACATTTTGTGTCTACTCACATTAATTGTAGAGTCTCGGCCGCAAGAACCAAGTGTCACTTGTGAGATCAGAAAAAGATTCGATTGAGAAATTAAGTAATTTAAAAAATACATAACGTTATATTTATCTCAGAAATTATTATATTATATGCCCTAATTTTCTGATTGAAAAAATGTCAATCTAATTTCTGATGAATGTGGAAACTACAAATTTTTATTTTAAACGAATTAGATATTCGCCGAAGCATTGTAATATTAATAGAGATAAAACATGGGCAAAGTAGAGACTATTTTAGTTGGGCAACTTATTATGAAATTGATTTGAAATTGACTCACTTGAAACTACATACATACATAATGTTTTCTTGTTTATGCGCTATAAAATAGTGGATACAAAATAAAAGCTAACAACCCATGGAATATTTGGTTCTTCCAAAATCAATAATCTGTTCTCCATTAGACAAATTGTCAGATAACAAAGATACGGCAATTTGGCCAAACCTCATAAAATGAAGAACTATGGCTAAGACGCCGTAGTTCATCCCTTTCAGAATGTTATTCATAACGTGAGTCAATACCATTATAAAATTTAAACCTTTCCTAAATTCTAGAAATAAACTACAAGCTTAACCTTCAAAATGCAGAATACTTTTAGTTATCTTTCTTTCTATCAAAGTGTGCAAAAATTTTAAAAGTCATATATGCGTGTGCTTAGCAATGTTATACTATGCTATAAAGTTGTTAATAACATCTTGAGTACTCAGGGTTTTACACAGCCTGATATTTCAAAACCAATTTAATGCGCAAGATGTGCAATTCAAACCACTTTAAAACAATATGAAGGTACTGATAAAGATGCTGCTCAATAAGGGGTTTAAAGAGCACGAAAATGAAAAATTGTATCTTCTAATAATAGTATTGTAGGTTTTTTGGGGATACTTGGAGTACAATTCCGACATTGAAAAACGAAGGAACTACTTCGTAGAGATTGTATGGTACCGACACTAAAGGATGGTCGTGGTCCCTATCTTGGTATGATCTTGATAAATGTGCTTTAAGAGACGAGCATCTTGGTGTTAAATCTTGAGCATCGATTTATTTATACATGAAAAGATATTTTAAATATAATATCTTAAACGCAATGGGACTACAAAATACTAAAATATAGACCATCTACAAACAAATTGGAATATGTTTTTGTATTATATGACCCCAAATTTTTAGATCCAGGATCTAGAGGTACTTAATTGTTTGGAAGTTGCTACATCGTCTATCACCTGCTCTTCTTATCCAACCTAACTTAATCCAACTCAACCCAACCTAAGTAAATTCAACCCAAGTCTTCAAAAAAGTAAAAATATCATAACTTTCTCATAGCAAGAGTATTAGATTCCTCAATCTCTCTCTCTCTATTGATAGTACATTTCAAAAAGCAAGTGAAACAATATTTAGTGTTATAATTTCGTAAATAATTGAAATAGGACCTATGTCCATTAACATTTTTTTTTTGGTAATTGGATTAGCTATGATATGTCAAAATTTGATGGTGAGCTAATAAATCACCTGTATTATATGCCCTAATTTTGTAATTGAAAAAATCTCACCTTGAAAAGAATGAATGAGGAAACTACAAATTTGCAATTAAATGCGCAAGATGTGCGATTCAAACCACGTTAAAACACTATGAAGGTACTGATAAAGATGCTGGATCGCTGCTGAATAAAGGTCTTAAAGAGCATAATAAAAATGAAAAATTGTATCGTCTAATAATATTGTAGTTTGTTAGGAAGCTTTGTGGCACAATTCCTACATTGAAGTACAAAGGAACTACTTCGTAGAGATTGTATTGTATTATAGAGATGTTTTAATAATTAAGTTAGATCAGTGCGACATGTTTCGGGGTAAACATCCCCCTTCTTCAGGCACAACGTCAAAGTTATGAGATTCTGCATTTTGAAAGTTAAGCTTATAGTTTATTTTCTAGCCATGATTCTTCATTTTATGTGGTTTGGTCAATTTTCCGTATCTTTGTTTGACAATTTGTCTAAGTGAGAATAGATTGTTGCTAATTTTGGAAGTACTTCATGTACAGGAAAATGCTGCATGGGTTGTTAACTTTATATCCACTATTTTATAGCCTATGAACTGAAAACATTAATTATTAGCTATAAAATGGAATATATTTTTGTATTATATCACCCCAAATTATTAGATCCAGGATCTAGAGGTAAATTGTTTGGAAATTATTTGCTACATCGTCTATCCCCTGCTCCTCTCTTCTTACCCCTTTTTTTTTTTTTTTTGCGCAGAGGAGGGGAAAATGCATTACGCACATTCCTGTCAATCCCAACTTGTGAACCCAACTTTCATTACGTTTGAAAGTTGCTACATTGTCTATCACCTGCTCTTCTTACCCAACCTAACCTAATTCAATCCAACTCAACCTAACCTAACCCAACCCAAGTCTTGAAAAAAATAAAAATATCATAACTTTCTCGCAGCAAGAGTCTCAAATCCCTCTCTAATGATAATCAAACTTTACTTGAATGTCCATTTCAAAAACCAAGTCAATCAAGATTTTTGAAAATTTTATAAACATTAAAATTTGGAAATTATTGAGGATGTTTGGGTTCATATCATAGATAGGGCTTCTTTTGGAGGCAATTCTTTGATATACAGTGTTTTCCAAAAGTAACACATAAATCATCATTCATTTGATATAGAAAAATAGTAATGCGTAACCATGGTAACCAATTGTTACATATATTTTGTCAAAAATATCTACCATGGCAACCAATTGTTGCAGAATGTTTCGTCAATTGAACAGGCAATATACAGTATTTTCCAAAAGTAACGCATATATTTCCATTAATTTGATAGAAAAATAGCAGTATCTATGCGTAATCATGGCAACCAATAGTTGCCATGGCAGATATTTTTAAGAAAATATATATAACAATTGGTTGCCATGGTTACGCATGGCTACTGCTATTTTTCTATCTCAATTAATCGGAATTTCTGCGTTACTTTTGGGAAATACTGTATTTTTATTGTAGATGACTTTTAAGTGTTCTAATTGCAGTTTGATTTGAATTAAAATGAATATGTTTTTGAGATTTAGACCAAAAAAACAAAAAGTATTTATTGGGTTTAAACCGATCACTTAAATATTCATCATTAACACTAAAACCGTTTTATTTAAATAAAATTGGTGTTAATTTAGAAATTTTTTATCATCTTTTTATTGTCAACTTTTTGTCATCTCCGCCGTTTTTTTCCTGAATAATTATTCAATTTTAGCCGTTCCCACTCACACTCAGACAATTCCCTCATTATCTTTTAGCGAATCTTTGTACTTACTGTACCGTGCCGTTTCACTAGCGTAAAATTCATTTACTCAGCTTAATTAATTTACAATCGCATTGTTTGCGCGATAAAAATATCCTCTACGTCTTTTGATCCAATTGTGTATACAAAAACGGTGGATTCGTAAACGTTTTTGAAATCGTTTTTAGAAAATCAATTACTGTGTCGATAAATGTTGTTAATTGACAAGGACGAACGTTTGAACCGGATTTTTGAAATTAATTCGAAACAATTTTCACCTAATTAAGACATAAAATAAAAATTTGTTTTAAAGCTCTTAAAAAAAACGTATATAAGAAGCAGGTTGTAAATGCAGAGCTTTGCGCGCCTTATAAAAGATTTTTATAGGCTGGGGAAATAGAAAGAAGGTCTTCTCGCAGTCATGCCCAGTAGAAAACTCCGCCTTTAATGTCTTGGAGAAGAAGACTTGGGTTGTAAACGAACTCAAAAGGAATAAATTAAAGAGCTAAAATGTACTTTTTACGTTCGACGTTTTATTTTATTTTTATTTTTTTGGTAACTCTTTGGGATCTTTCGTATAAAATCTGAACAAAGGACCCCTCTTAGTGCGGCACGCTTTAAGTTTTAAGACCATGTAAAGTTGATAATTGGTAATTTTCAGTAATTGCTTTCTTCGAGATTCTGAGATCTCCATTCACCTGCTGAATCTTTTTTTTTATTTGGGATACCCGTACGGTCGTTATAAATGTTATTACCTGGTTTGGTTTTATCAAATCAAAACCCGTTTCAAAATAAATTTTCTTATTTTAGATAAGTACTTGAACTTGAAAAATCTTAATTACAATAAAACAATAAAATTATTAAAGATCTACCATACCATATTAAAAACATTATGTTTGCGTTTAGTAATTTATACTTACAATATAATAATTAAGGTTGTTTATATTCTCCGGTAGCACGTTTCTAGTTCATAAAATAATAAATATCCGCTCGTAATTGGTGAAATATACCCGTCAAAACATTATAACGCCACACCCAAAAAACATTAATAACCTTTTTAACTTTTCATTATTATCAAAATAAATTTTTAAAACGTAAAAAAATTCTATTTACGTTTTCTTTTCGATCCCGCTATAAAATGCTAAACATATTTTATTGCTTCCTTTCAAAAAATCGAAACCACCGCAGTCGCAAGATCGATACTCGCCTCGAATGTTTGCATTAACAATTTAAAACCAAACAAAAAAATGGTCTTAACGGAAACACTTTTGATATGTGTATCAAGAAACTATCAGGGGATGTTTGCCTTTTAAATTTGAACGATACCGTAAGCGCCATGTGGTTTCTTTAGGGCGATGTTTGCGCTTTGTGTGTGTGTGTTCCAACATTACGATTCGAAATCGTGTGAATGTCTTCATTTAAAGTGTGTGACAGCGCAACTTTTTCGTTGATTTTTTAGGAGACTTTTAGAACCAAATTTTAAACAAACAAAAATTATTTATAGACTCTTTCGAATAAACTTTGTTTTAATCGTTATTTTGTGTTGACTTAAAAGTTAACTTAGTTGTGTTAAGATTATTTTTAAATAAGTTTTTAGTTTGAATTATTACTCTAATTAAATAATCTTATTCAAATTTATGAATTAGATGAATCGAAAATCTATTTTGAAAGGAATATAATGTCGAACTACGAATATAAGAAGTCGGCTAAAGAAAAACAGTGATGTTGTTGTGATGGTTTACTGCAGGAAGTTCATGAATACACCAAATTACTCATTTGGGTTCGATACGGGTTCTCGTCCTCATTTACCAAGAAGAAATTGTTAAAGAAGTGAAATTTTTAATAACAAACTCTCCCAAAAATTAGGACGTCGTTCTATTGCAAAAAAAAAACGATTGGATTAAGAAATCGATGTGGACCACTTCATCAAAAGCAGCTTTTTAATTTTGCGTAGCTGTTACAAAGAAATATTGCTATACTTTAGAAACAACTTCATATTATCATAGTTTTTTTCTTCCAAGAGTTGGATTGAAAAAATTATGGAATAAAACACCATTCTGAAAGTTCTGGGAAGTCCCGTTTTTGGTATAATAACTCATATGATGATGATGAACATCATATTTGTTACCAAAAGATGATATTTTCGTAGATTGCTAAAACTCACACATCTCTTAGTTCGCAAGAAATACCTACAGTGTTTCACAAGCACTCATAAGAGAACTGCGAAGTCTGATGAGGGTCAAATAGGAACACCAATTTATTCATGGAAGTACATTTGATCTGGACATTGCTATTTGCAAAATGACACCTTACAAGAATCAAAATAAAAGGACATACAATCTATACCATCACTTGGAGATGATATTAACTATGCATTTATTTCCCTAAGACCTGATTCAGGTCAATATGGACCTACTTAATAACAATCTTCTATTCCCCATATTTTTGTCATATCAGATCTGCATAAAAATAAATCTATCTAAAAAAATTCGTGAGATGGGCTATTTGTTGATAATTATGGAGTACTAGGAACAGTTGATAATGTAGAGGAACTTTCCTCATTCGTTCTAATGATAGAAAAACCAAAATGCCAAAAATTGATGCATATAATGCAATATATTGATATGACGACAAGATGTTATGTACACATTTTCCTACATAGAAAAGTGTCATTTTAGATAAATGATGTTCAGGGATAAAGTATCTGCACAAGGATTGCATAAGATTTTAGGACGATCCACTGCATTAGTATCATGCTTGTTGCTAAGCTCTCTTGAGCAATCTTCCTGCTCTCTTTTTTCTTCCTTGGTGCTATACACCACCTTGGTAACACATACAGCATACGTTCTTCTACTTAATCTTGAAGAGGCTGCTTAAAAATGCAGTTATAAGCATTTTATCATGAGCAATGTATAGAATAAAAATTCAGAAACAAAACTTTTTTGTCTACAAAAAACAACATACTAAACGATGATTCTAATACAACTCTGAAGACAACATTAGAACAATCTTTGTATCTAACCCAATTTGGTGAACTTCAAAAATATACTCCAAATAGTTTAAGAAATCTACATTGAAATTGAAAAATTTATCGTCAACTAGTTATCAATAGTCGTAATAACGATTAGATAACTTTCTGAATTATGTAATTAAAGGAGCCAACACAATTAGTCGCAATTCATTCAACTTGCTTATTTGAAAAAATTATGTTACTTATTTATCTGACTCAATTTACCAAAATCTAATGGTTATATAAAATAGTTTGTCAAAATTTGTAAGAATGATTGTGACCGACGGTTTAAAGATCCCACTCAGATTGGGTTTTAGTTATATTTTTATAAAAGCTAGAAAGAAATCGTCCACATCTATTACACAAGTTTAGAGGAGATAATGAATTAGCACCTTCTTCGATAAATCTGGGCATACTTACAAACTTAATAGGAACATGTCTGGAAAATCAGAATTTACTCTTTCTAAAAAAAACCATAAAAAGAACTCAACGACTAATGCTGGGACTAAAGAAATTAATCCACAAAAAAGTTTAAAAATTAACCCGTCGTAAGCAGAGTTACTACGACTAAATATAATAAACCAAATTTATGAAAGGAAAAAAAATGGCAATGCAAGAAAAAACCTAACTCAATAAAGCCCCAGAAAATTGTAAAGGCATAATTCAGTAACTTAGAAATCTCTCATTTTTCACATTATAAGAAAAAAAAATGTTTAAACATAATAAATACACGCTTACAGATGCAAATTTATGCTAATTGCTCAAAATGCACAAATCATTTTAAGCAGTAATCAATGATGCAATTTTATGCAAATTTATTGTTAATAAAAAGAGTTAAAACTTACCAGGATTAGGTTGATTTTGATAAGAATTCTTCTTAATCCATTCATACGGGCTTCGAACGGGTGGTGGTCGATTAACAGTATGAGAAGAAGGAGCTTGTGGTGACATTTCACCCGGATTTAATCCCGGACTGGATAAATCGCTCCCGGAAATAGGTGATGGCATTTGCGGAACTTCGCCGCCGGAAACATGCGTTTGCATATCAACTGGATATGAAACGCGTTGATGATGTTGCGACGGTGGTTGAACCATTGGGTATCCTTGTTGGAAATTATGTACCAAATTTCCTTGAAGAAAATCGTTTATATCCGGTGACGGTGGATAAATATGCGGTGTTATATGATGATGGTGCCATCCGTTTTCTTCGGCCTGAGCGAAACCTCCTTGGTGATGATAGGCTTGGTACCATTGGTGGTGTAAACCGTGATGTTGCATGTTTTGGTGGTTCACACTTGAACCTCCTTGTCTTGGATGAAACATTTTTTATTGAATCACTGAACTATTTAAAATCCAAAATAAAACGTTTTTTATACAAAGTCTCCTTAAGAGAGTCCTTGACGCGCACTCAAACTCGTAAGAACTAACTAACTAAAAAAAAACTGAACCTTGGTCCTGATACCTTCCAGGACGCTGACAGGAATAACTGGACGAGGGAAGGATCAGGAGTATTATCGGCTATCTGGGGCGGGCGGGACTTCACCGGAGGGGGGCACCAATGGGACACCGATGGTGTTATAATGGTTCCTCGGTTCGGCAGGGCCAATAAAACGCGCCATACCAAATCCGAAAGGATAACGTTAATGACACGGTGACGTGGGGGAGGTAATTGTTTTCCATTCGCCTATTTTCCACGATAATCGATTATTGGGAAGATAAAACATAAAAAGGACCGATGATAAAAAAAAACTTTTAAAAAGTTTTTAGTATTATAGAAACATTTTTATAGCAAATATTAAATAATTAATTAAGATTTCCTTATTTTCTAGATATATACCTCATACTCGGAAAAAGAGTTATTAATAAAAGAGTCTTATCATAACCTAAAACATAGAAATTAATATATCACCCAAATAAATATTGAAAACTCAATATTACCTTCGCAAATCACCAGAACATTTCTTAAATTTTGAGACTCTTATTTTGCTCTTTTCTATGAAGCTCATATTCTTAACATTCAGAATAATTACGGTGTGCTTATGATTTATATACAGCTTTATACATAACATGACCTGTTAGTACATATTTTCATTTATTTTGCCTCCGACGGTAATGAGCAATTAATGTTCTTAATTATTCTCCTCTTATCATGTTCCTCTTCGTCGCTGATTTTTAAGTGTAATTCTTCCTTTTTGGAGTATTTTAATACAATTTTTAATACAACATTGTTTTGCAGCTTGAGTTTATTTTATGGTACTTTGTCTTTCTTCTCATTCAATTAGTAAACTTATTCTAAAAAGAATTAATTAAAATTATGATACCAATTTCAAATATAATGTTCATATGCAATGTTGCACGGCATTGTTAAATACTGCTTTGTATTCTTCCTAAAATGTAGAAGAATGTAGATATAAAATTGATATGAAGATCTTTAGCCTAAGGAAATGGAAAACGGAGAAATGCAAAAGAAAATGCACAATATTATTTTAAAACGGCATATATGATAATCATTCTACACATAGGACATTGTTGCTATTGATATCATAACATATAATGTAATGGGAAATTCAAATCAGATTAATACATATCTAATATATCATATCATGTAGGTATTTACATTAGTGATGGAAGATACCAATGATAGATACAAAATACAAGATAGCATATAGAAAATGTTCAATAATTTAAGTAGAATTTTTTCGTACTCAACCTAAGTTACTTATATCAGTACTGAAAATATCATTTCGACGCATAATGACATGAGTCTATATTGCATATGTGTAAATATAAAATCGGAATTTTTGTATAGAGAATATTTCAAAAAATATTTTGTTCGATTTATCGCTATCTATATAATTTTCCCATATATCCGATAATTTGTGAATGCCACGCCAAAAAAAGGTTGCTCTTTTGAGGCAAACTAGTTATCAAACCATTTTCATAAGAAATAAAGTGCTGCGCGTCAAATTAATGCAAAGAAGTAGTAATTGAATAAAGCCAAGCCTAGTGAATAAGTTTCATTGTACAGTTTTGCTGGGTATAATAGTACATTAACATTGATAGCGTTTAGTATTAACGTTTTCGCCAAGTTTTGCATTGTCCATGCGATTTGACTTTGCAGTTGGTGTGCTTTCTTGAGCGTAATAGATTCTTAAAATATATACATTTATGACCAGTCACAATGGAGAAATGAAAATGACATTCATTTGTACATGGTGAGCAACATTTTACAATGGGCTGCGGAAGACATTATAAGCACTGATACTGTGCTATCAATGCCGTCAGATTTGGCGGTATCACTATCAGTGATTAATGCTCGATACCAGATTGTACTGCCTGAGCGGCAGTCCTGGATCGAAAATGAAAATTCTCTGGTTCGGGCAGACATTTGCNGCGAAATTAGTACTTACATCCGGTGTAACCGGAAGTACAAAAAGCATGATTTCATGTCGTAATAATCCGTTTTAGCGACCATGCATTCCAAATGGTTTTCTGATATCACCAATAATAAAGAAAAATATGGGGGTGGGCCACTTTTGAGGGACACCCGATATGTATAAATATGAAATTGGAATTTTTGTATAGAGAATATTTCAAAAAAATATTTTGTTCGATTTATCGCTATCTATACAATTTTCCCATATATCCGATAATTTGTGGATGCCACGCCAAAAAAACGGTTGCTCTTTTGAGGGAAACTAGTTATCAAACCATTTTCGTAAGAAATAAAGCGCTGCGCTTCAAATTAATGCAAATAAGTAGTAATCAAATAAAGCCAAGCCTAGTGAATAAGTTTCATTGTACAGTTTTGCTGTGTATAATAGTACATTAGCATTGATAGCGTTTAGTATTAACGTTTTCGCCAAATTTTACATTGTCTTTCGTCCATGCGATTTGGCTTTGCAGTTGATGTGGTTTCTTGAACGTAATAGATTCTTAAAATATATACATTTATGACCAGTCACAATGGAGAAATGAAAATGACCTTCATTTGTACATGGTGAGCAACATTTTACAACTGGTTTTTCAGTTTTCCTGCTGTCTTTCATTCAGTTCATGTGGAACCCATTTTTCTATCATCTAAGTTTCTTTCAAACGTTTAGAGACGGCTTTCTCATATCACATTTAATTGATGTGGCATTTATCCAACAAATCTTGCTTTTTCGGTGGTCTTTCACGTTCTTTAATTCTCACGTGAAAGTCGCCACGTTTAAATTTTTTAAACCACTCAAAGCATACCAAAAGTAAGCTCACCGTAAGCTTCGACAAGCATTCGATGCGATTTTGCAGTGGTTTTCTTCAAATCATAACAAAAAATCAAGCTTCCAGACACAAAATTTGACATGTTCAATGTAATTATAAACTATGTTGTATGANAAGAACCACTAACTAAAGCATAGCAGTGATCACTGCTCGAGGAATAGCAAATCAAGAGAGACATAACGTAGTTTGTACTATTAACCTAGCTACTATGCGTCAAAAGTTGTAATACATTTTCCGAATTTTTTTTTTTTTTTCAAAAATTATAAGCGATCGTGAAAATTTTTTCAAGTAAAAGTTATGTGAAATTATGCTGTCTACCCAACTGAACAAAAAAAAATGGTAGATTTAAAAAAATAGCGAAATTAGTACTTACATCCGGTGTAACCGGAAGTACAAAAAGCATGATTTCATGTCGTAATAATCCGTTTTAGCGACCATGCATTCCAAATGGTTTTCTGATATCACCAATAATAAAGAAAAATATGGGGGTGGGCCACTTTTGAGGGACACCCGATATGTATAAATATGAAATTGGAATTTTTGTATAGAGAATATTTCAAAAAAATATTTTGTTCGATTTATCGCTATCTATACAATTTTCCCATATATCCGATAATTTGTGAATGCCACGCCAAAAAAAGGTTGCTCTTTTGAGGCAAACTAGTTATCAAACCATTTTCGTAAGAAATAAAGCGCTGCGCTTCAAATTAATGCAAATAAGTAGTAATCAAATAAAGCCAAGCCTAGTGAATAAGTTTCATTGTACAGTTTTGCTGGGTATAATAGTACATTAACATTGATAGCGTTTAGTATTAACGTTTTCGCCAAATTTTACATTGTCTTTCGTCCATGCGATTTGGCTTTGCAGTTGATGTGGTTTCTTGAACGTAATAGATTCTTAAAATATATACATTTATGACCAGTCACAATGGAGAAATGAAAATGACCTTCATTTGTACATGGTGAGCAACATTTTACAACTGGTTTTTCAGTTTTCCTGCTGTCTTTCATTCTGTTCATGTGGAACCCATTTTTCTGTTATCTAGGTTTCTTTCAAACGTTTAGAGACAGCTTTTCATATCACATTTAATTGATTCGCGAATTGATGTGGCATTTATCCAACAGATCTTGCTTTTTCGGTGGTCTTTCACGTTCTTTGATTCTCACGTGAAAGTCGCCACGTTTAAACCACTCAAAGCATACCAAAAGTAAGCTCACCATAAGTTTCGACAAGCATTCGATGGGATTTTGCAGTGGTTTTCTCCAAATCATAACAAAAAATTAAGCTTCCAGACACAAAATTTGACATGTTCAATGTAATTATAAACTATATTGTATAAAACTTGAAAGAGTTGCGTTTTCCAACAAAATAAAAATCCTGAAAAAAGAGTACTTATTAATGGAACTAACAATATTTATAAAATACCTATATACATTATTATCTCCGAAATTTTGCTCTAATTTTATAATGCCCGAGATACAAGGTGCTGGAAATCCCCAAAGTTTAATTTCAGCAAAGAAGCATGATTAAAATTTGCAACAATATATTCTGTCAAGAAGTCAACATTTGTATTTACTTCAACCATATCAAATTTCACATTCTCTAGATCAAAGTTTAATGAGATCCGAGTCAAAAGCGCAATCGTGGTAACTCCTTGTTCAACAAACATTGATTTATGCCTTCCTTGATAATTCAGTTGATCTAAGAATTCCAACCAAACGAAATTTGTAGGATCAAGTTCTTTGATGATTAATACTTCATTGAAACATATTCTTATCTACGGAAAACATTAATAAATAGCAATTAATTAATAAATCATCAGTAATGAACTTAATACGTGCCGTGAATTAATAAAAAAAAATTATGCAGCTCATCAAATAAGAAAATTGAATGAAATTACTTATTTCATTAATTATGGAGCAATCAGAGTTAGTTATCTGTTATCCCAAATCTTATTTCCACCCATTATGCAGCATTACACCATCTCTAAGTGTTTGCTCCTCTTCAATCATAAGAAATGATCGAGGTGCTTAATTGCTTCTTGAAGGCGTCTAAAACTTTAATTCTTCTCTCTTTATTTACAATTTCTACAATAATACTTATTTCGTTATTACCGTCGAATAAAAATATGTTCTACTAGATATCAGTCAATGAGTCCTTACTTCTTATTATAATATGGGAATTCCTTTTGCGAATCTTAAAACATAAAAAACAACTTT